AATTCACTACTATATTAAGTTAAATTCAAAATATAATATTACATTGAAAACAGTTTTGTCTGAAATGTTTGATGATTTAATTTCTTGCATGGCAAGTCGAGTTGCACATCAAACCTATCCCTCGGCTTTTTTCTCTGCCTTCCAAAACGATGTGATGAAATGGCCCGATCACCTCATTTCGAAATCAATTAGAAGATTCTTTCGCCAGCGCACTCATTTGCGTACCGTATCGAAATAACATCTGAATTCCTGTTACTTGTCACAGCCCCTCGTGTAATTCTCTGGAAAACGATAAAAAAAAGTATCTGTTTTCTTCAGATTCCGTCGTTTTCTTTTTGTCTGACCTACCTATTACAGTGCCCATGGAGAAGAGGCAACTTTCCATTAGATTCGCTGTCTTCTATGACTGTAAAATACGACTCACTCTAAAGAAAATAGGCACCTTTGCCTCTTCCTCTATCTCTCGTGCCCTTCCCTTGCAAGAGGTCGTGAGAGACGCGAGGGCACAAAGATCTGCCACTACTTATTTAAAAGTTCCTGACACTCTGTATAAATCTTTGTCTCCGAGACGTGTCACACAACTACCGTGTGGCTGCTGTGCACCGCACCATTGAACAAGCTCTATCATTTAGTGTCTTGTATATTTATATTAAAATCTCTTTTCTGAATAGAGAAAAAATATTGTTAGAAATATCGACGACAACGATGAATGTTTATTAATTATATTGTTCATCAAAATAATGTTCTTTAATTCTTGCAACATTGAATAAATATTGGGTGTTATAATGTAACAAAACACAAAAAGATACGTATTATTGGCACAGTCACGTGTACATACCATTCACCATCGTGCGTAAAAACAATACGTGAAAAACAGATGTTAATAGCACTATGTCCAACAATCAACAATGGAGTAATTAATGATATGTGATTAATGTTGGGTATCCATTTATTCATTGATTTTTATCAACAAAGCCATCTGGATGAAGTAAATAACAAAGCCTTCTAAAACGGGATATATGATACTGGAGTATATTTTGACCCAGATGTTCGAATAAGCAGTAAACCCATTGCTCTCCCGCTCGCTTACAAAGTCGTCGCCTGCATATGGCAAGTGAACACGCAAGTCCGAAACGTACAAGTAGCTATCGCGCTAAAAGGACACCGCCCCGAAACAGGTTGCAACTCTGGGGCCCAGATGGCACCCCGCGGTGATAAGATCGCGATGCGCACACTGCCACCGGCACGCGTCGCCGAGGGTAACCCGAAACTCAACCCTACTGCCACGCCCCTCCCGAAACCGCCGCTGCCGACCAAGCCTCCCTCGCTGACGCCACCGCTCCTACCCCGATAGCCTCCCCAACCGCCCCCTACGGCATCACCTCCTCCATCACTACTACCACCACCATCTCCGCTGCCTCTGCCACCCTACAATCGCCACACCTACCACCCCC